ATTCCTGCTACCCACAGGGTGGCATTTCCAGCCCATGGGCTCATTCAGAATCAGAGCTGTTACTCTCTAGTGCTTCAGGGGTCCAGTTTTCCAAATAGTTCCGTTAGTCTGTTTGCTATAGAGTCCTTACAAAATCATCAGGACTTAAACTTGCAAAAAAGACATGCACATCTTTAAGTGTGTAGGCACCTCTGATTCCATTCAATTAAATGAAGTAGTAGTTTGGACATAAAATTCAGCATGTCCTATGTATCTTGTCAAACCCTGAAATATGTTGTATTGGATATATAATGTCTACTTACAAAAAAACCTGTATAAATGATGTTTGTGACATATTCTGTTCACATTTCTAATGTTTATTTTGACAATTGCATGAATCCATATTTAAAGGACAGGTTTGAAAACACTCTTCTGAGAATGAATATTCTTTCTTGCTTTTTTTGTGGCTAAACTCATACAATTCCAATGAAGTGCAAATGGTGCAAAGCCATGAGGAAGGCATGCTGTTATTCCTTTGAGGAATATATATCCCCTAATAGTCAATGTTTCACTTTTTAATTACTGTAAATCAGTTTTGTTGTTTGAATTTACAATCCTAAATTAAAACACCATTTATTTGTGATGTCAGATGTAAAGCCTAGCTCATTTTCTGCTTTGCTAAAGACAAACAAAACATTACCTAACATTGATTTGGACCATAGGAGACTTATAGCTATTTCTATAGGCTACATTTCTTCCAAAAAGGAATTGATATGGCAGAGACAATAATGACAGTGCTATTCACTGTCAGTGCTGTGCATTTATATTACTAATTTAAAGAAAGACTTAAAACCAGGCCTGATTTCCTCAAGTCAAACCAAAACAATTCCTAGAGAAGCCTGCATGAGGTTAATAACCATACAAATGCTGAATCAAGCACATGGCTAATTAATATTCAATACATGTAAAGTGTAGCATTTGTCTCCAAATCCATTTTGATGTAACGGTGTCTCTTGCATAGCACTCTGCAGCAAACATTTTCTGCTTTTTAACTCAACATAGTTCTATTTCAGTTTTATAGTAAGTAGACCTTAAACTTGACTAACCCAACTCAGATTGCCTTCTTTATGTACCTTGGAAAAATAAATGTTTTCTTTGATATTTATGAACAAACTGTAATATGAATTGTATGCCATAATTAGTTTATAAAAAAATTTTATACTTGACCTACCATAAAATATCCCATATGAGGTGTTTCAAAACTAACAGCCATCCACTTTGATTCTGTCTGAGCATAAATCTGGCCAAACTTCCCACAATGGATGGTACAAAGATTTTATTTTTTTTCTCGTATCAATAAATATGGCAAGAAAAGCTTTACAAAAAACCCTCTCAGAATGAGTTTTTATTTTCCCTGAGATTCAGCACTGCTAAAGATTATGGAAAGGATTAACTACAATGTGGCATTCTGAATATGTTCTTTTCCTATCAAGATTTTTACTGTAGTGGCATTGATATATTATCAACAGCAGCAGATTATTTTTACATTTCATTTTTACTTCTTGAAACTGTGTATGTGTTGTATGAAAGGTAAGAGCAGAAATATACCCTGGTACAACATTTGATTTTAATTTGCAAATGACTCACATGACTTACGAGTAGGGAAAAGAACAGAGAAGGGAGACTGTACAGGTGAACGGTGGAAAAAACACCACCTTGAATACTACTGGCTTTTTCTCAATGTTCCAGTAAAGTTTTAATTAAATTGTCCAACAATTATTTTGGAAAAAGCCATTTTGTTTTTTTTTTTTTTCCATGACAGACAACATAAGAGGTAGGAATGCAGTGAAATAAAGGGAACTAATTACTGAGGGAAAGGCTGTAGATATGACTCAACTAGCAATGAGTTCAAAAAGCCTTACAGCGTTTTGTATAGTTTTAATCAGTCTGAGATGAATGTTTGTTTCAAAAAGTGTTTCATTAAAGCAGCTCCATTTTTACACAAAAGAATGGCATCTTTGTTTATTTACCTTTTATTGCCGTCTAATGACTCAGTACAAATGATGACCAGAGTATGAAAAGCAAAAGGAACAGAAGCACAACCCTACCTCTGGCATGCTCAGCTGAAAACTCAATTCACAGGGATTTGGAGTGTTCCCCTGCTCCCCCCCACCCCAACTGGGTTGCGCTGGAGGGGAGGAAGAGAGCTCTACATTATGATTTGGAGAATAAGAAGGTAAGGGATGAACACAAGAGGAACGACAAGAAATTATTTTAAACTGTAAATATCAAAATCTGTAAAAGTAAATACAAATGAGGCCAGCTATTAATAAACAATGTTAGAAAAAACAACAAAATTTAAATAGCATGATACGATTTCAATTCATCAATTAGAAGACTGATATTCAGATCATCTTAGAACCCATTCTAGAAATTTGAATAATGTGTTATCTTGTACCATGTTGCCTGATTATGTTTCAAGACACAAAGTTCCAAATAAGTCCTTCAGAAGGAAAAAACAAACAAATGAGCTTCAGCACAATGAGTTATTACAGCACCTCTAAACCACGTATGGCAATGCAATACTGAAATGCATTTATTTTCTAGATTAACTTTCATTATGTATAAATATGTAAAAAATTACTTGGTTTTGAAGAACATTAACCACTCAAAAGTTCAAATAAAAAGAAGTAACTTAACAGTTCAGACATCAATGAGCAATGTAGAAGAACGAAGGGGGGAAAAAAACACTCAAGTATTTGTTATACTCTTAAGCAAAATCTGCCTTATAAGCACATACACACAGTTTCTTGTTTGTGTTCTGTTACTGAACGTGAATTCCATCAGGTGTTCCACACAGCAGTTTGCAACTGAACTGGTAAGACCTTTTACAGCGTCACACTACATAAAAATTAAAAGCTAACAGATTAATTCTTGTCCCAGAATTACAGGATTATTTTTTTGTTTCTACATATGCTGCAATTTAGCAATGCATTAAAAGACCTACTTTTTCGATAAAATCATAGACTCATAGAATATCTCAAGTTGGAAGAGACCCATAAGGATCATCGAGTCCAACTCTCTGCTCCTCGCAGGATGACCTAAAACTAAACCATATGACTAAGAGCATTGTCCAGATGCTCCTTGAGCTCTGGACAGGCTTGGTGCCGTGACCGCTTTCCTGGGGAGCCTGAATAATAGCTCATAAAATAATGCACAATAAATTATGCACAGGAAATTATAAACCAGCTTTAATCTTGGACATTCTCAGGAAAATGGAGATATAAAACTTACTACCATTTAAAAAAGCATATTGCAAAACATGAGATGTGCTTCTGCTTCTCCACCTGTTATCAATGAATCCCCAAGGGGCATGCACTTCCTTTGCATAAAAAAAAAAAAAAAAAAAATTTATAAAGTTGCATATTTTCCTAAGAAATCCATCAACAAAAACCCCTTCCATTCTGAAAAGATTTGATTAGCTGGGACAATATTTAGATCTGCTGCTCCAGATCAGTACCGTTCTCATTTGGCTCTACAAAACTACTGTGTAGCAAATTTACTAAATACCTAACTGTGGTGAAAGCTCTTTTCAGAAGCGTTATATGCAACAAAAGAAATGGAAACATCTGTGAGTTACTAGTCTAAAGGAACCCGAGAGAAATGGCAAAGCAGCATGAAGAGCCATCCTGCCACTCTCGCAACACATCAAAAAATACGGCAGAACTGCACCATACTGGGTTTGTTACCAAAAGATGAGACAGATGCGGGGAAAAAAGACGACTTCAGAAGAAATCTTAGTCAACTGCTATCACTGAGGCTTATCTTAGACGCCACCTATGACAACGAAGCGCTAGCCAGAGTCTCCAGACAGACACACAGCAATTACAGCTTGGGGACCTTACCTAAACAGCTAACATCTTTATCGTGGCCTTACAATGATACTTGAATCACAGCTGTGTGACATATGCTGAATGGATTATATTCTAAAAATAACTGATGCTTCTCTGCCAGTCTATTCAATCAGCAAATAGCCTCATAGCCTCCGTCCAGTGCTGAAAGTATTTCCTCTAGGCAAATAAACTCAGGAAAGAATTTCTGTTTAGAAACCATAAGAAAAGTAAGGAAAAAATGTCTGCCGTGTAAGACAGGTCATGAGTAAAGGTTGTATTATTTTTATGAATGCATTTATGTCTGTAAAGGACTGGGAATCAATGTCAGCTCAGGTACATGAAGATCACAAGTCATAACCACCCCGACTTTAGATGAGTTCAAAGTTCTACACTGACAGGCACATAGCTTTGTGCATCATGTACAAAGATAAAACCCACTTTGAACATATTATAAAGGACTAGGTTGAAAACAAACCATAAAAATAACTCTCAGACTTTAATAATTGTTCTGTGTCTTTATAAGCTTTTAATCTCTTAAAGATCTGAAGTTGGCTAGCTGAAAAATGACTACCTTCTCATCTGAAAATCCTCCAGTTAACCATCACAATGCTTTCAAGTGGTCACCCAGTTTCATCCCCCCCGAAAGCTTCCAAAATGGCTTTTAAAATAGACAGTAAATGGGGGAAATGACTTGTGTGTTTACAGTTCCTGTTTTACAGAGACAGTAAGGAAAATTAGTATTGGTATTTGCACGTACCATTTCCTTGTGATTTGGATAGAATGTTTGCTCAATTAAAGGGAATTTCTCTGGACCCAGAGTTTTGTAGACAGAGACCAGCTGGGCAAACTGTAAAATAAAACAAAACAAAAGAAAAAGCTTAGGAGAGAAACTGCATTCTACCAAAACGATCTCATACTGTCGTCTTGCTTCTTGTCTTCTGTGTTTCATAAACTCAGCAAACACACATACACATTATACGCTTTCTCTCTCCTCCTCTCTCACATGCACACCCCTTTTTGATCCATCCAGGCTATGACTTGACATGCAGAGCAACAAAGAACACCACCTCTAAGAGTAAAGCCCTCACGTGTACAAAAATTGAAATACATTGGAATACTAATTTTCAGATACCTCAGAGTCTATATAATTTAAGCTGATTTTCTGATAATAAAATCATTATAATTTTGCATTTTCTACCACCTTTAATCTAAAGATCAGACATGTTTCACATTAATTTAGCCTCTGGCACCTTACTAACATTGAAAGACAATTTTGCAAAACTGGAAAACGCAGAAAAGCAGTAACTATGTCATATGTAACAAGTCAGGTGAAGAACAGACGAGAGCATTTTAATGTCCTAGGCTCCAGCCATGTACCATAGCCACTTGGAGGCAGTGGAAGAATGGCCAGTTAACCAAGATGTTGATAATGTGAACAGCTACATGTTATTGACATTTCTATTAATGTTTTCTCTAACACATCCATAGTGTGCTAGACCGTAGTAACTTAACACAGAAAGTAAAACAACATTTAAACACAAAAAGACAAAGAATTCTTTAATAAATAGAAGTGTATTTTGGGGCTGTTCTTTCTCTTTAGTGAACAGATCAACTCTTCTGTTGTAACAGTTCAAAAACTAAATCACTCTTGAAATCACAGCTTAGCAAGTGAGGTTTCTAGGGAGCAGGACGCCTTTGGCAGTCAGAAGACTACTATTGTTTCAAGACTCCAAAGCTCTGGCTTGTACATGCCTGTGATGTGTTTAATTGTCATTATGCCAACATGAGACATAAACAACTTAGCACAACAGTGTGAATAGTGGGATTTGCTGGTTACAAACAGGAAAAAAAGCAAAGAACAATAGAACTCTGTCCATAATGCAGTTTGATCAAATACCTACTCTGTTAATGCAATTTAGGGTGCAGGGATAGTAAAAACTGTTTAAAGGGGGCGAAAAAAATGATGAAAGCTTTGCATCGCATTTCCAGCTGGCATAGAGAATTTGTTTAATTTAGCAGTGTTTACTTAGGTTTGGTAAAACACATATTTTGAAGTCCAGTGGAAAATACCTTAATCATGAGTAGTTTTCACCAAAAGCTTAAGAAATTCTAGCAGGGTAGTGTGCTGTACAAAGCAGACCTCAAGGAAAGGAAATATTATCACAGCTACCAAAATAAGGTGGTTTGCAAATAGGATTCCTGACAACTTACTATTTATTTCTGTTCTTATCCAAAATCCAAATTCAAAATTTCATAAGGAAATACTGCCTATTAAATACATGATTTTTGCAAAATAATTGTTATGTTAAAATAAATCCATTCATCTATCATTAAGTAAAAACCTTTTAAAAAATCATATGACTGTATTTTCTGTGATTCCTTATTTTCTTTTCCATTTTCACAAGCAAAAAGACGAAAGTAAGCAAATGACATTTGTAGGGTTGGAGAAAGCTATAATTCAGATTTATACTAGAAAATGTTTGTTTACTTAAAATAAAATAGTATCAACCACAGATAACAAACATCTATCACTCTAAAGCACCCTCTAATCTAGTAATTAAGCTCTGAAATAGCACGTAGGAAAGGGAGGCTTAAATTTCCCGAGACAGAGGAGAGAACTAACTCAGATTTCCCACAGTCGGGGGGGAATGATTTATCATTTGCCCCTGCTGGGATGCTGTTTCACCTGTGTGTCTACAACTTTAGGAATCTTCTATCATTTTTCTCCCCCAAAAGAGCAACTTGATAAATTTAACCCAAATTCATATAAAACTTTGTCATTCTAATTGTACATCCTTAAACTGCTATAAATATTTTTTATTTTCCCTGATTCCTACCAGGCAATGTATGAAAAGAAATTCATTTATCATCAATTTTTAAGGGTGACCTGGACTATACCTTTTTATATTTTCCTTTTGAGCAGCTGAACCAAACAAACATCAGTTATACCGACTGAAGCAAAAGACCACTTCTGAAAATCCTGCTGTACCTGGACAGTGCGGAAGCTATAGAGAGCTTACAAATAGGCTGAATATAGAACACCACGTTGCCTGCTTTTCTATCCAGTCCAGGTTTTAAAGGTCTGCTGGAAACTATCCCAATAAGTTTGATTTGACATTTTTTTAGACTTTATTAAAAAAAACCCCCACAAAACAAAACAAAACACCACAAAAAAAACCAAACCCAAAAGATCATATTAATGCCTTGCTTTGATTAGATTTTTGAAAATGTTTTGTTTTACTGGGCTAGCTAATATGACCTTAAATTACATCATTAAATCACAGTGAAGTTTATCAAATTCTTCCCTGGGCAAGAGCATCATCTTTTTAGATGATACACTACTGAATTATTATCTAATCCAATGCCGAATGTTTATAGATATAGATGTTCATGAAATAGAGAATAGTGGTAGAGCCAGTCTATATTTAAATGAAGTATTGTATATGGACGCTGAAAATCCTGGGAGATTTTAACAATTATCTAAAAAAAAAGAAACTTGGAGAGCTTAGTA